GGAGAGAGAGATTCTCTACCCAGATTTTGTCAAGTAGATAATTAACATCATCATACTGTGACAGCCAAACATGTCTCTAGGCTTACCATTGTCATTTTGACCTCCAGGTGAGAATGACTATTTAATTTTTTCTCATGTTTTCCTGTCTATTTATGTGCCTGTGCCCATCCACATGCCATGGTGTGTAGATGGAGGTCAGAGGCCAACTTGTGGGACTCCGTTTTCTCCTTCCATTATGTGGGTTTCTGGGATCAAAGGCAGGTCATCAGGCTCATTAACAAGCTCCGTTACACATTGAGCCATTTTGCCAGCCTTAAAACCTCTTGAGAATGAGGGTTTCCCCTCTCTGGCCAGTAGGAGAGGGACCCTCCTGATTACTTTGTTTTCCTGTACTGCCTGTCTTCCCTTCTTTGGACTAAGGAAACAGCATTTTCATATTCATTTATTAGTTATACTTAATCTCTACTGAATTTGCAGGAGGCTTGTAGTTTTATTCTATTTGTCAAGGCTGTTACTATTAGCATTTAGGCATCTGTACTGGCCTACCCTTAGGGTCCTGACAGGATAGACCTCAGCTGCAGTCACTAGGAGCACCCCTTGTGTGCATTCACTAAGTTTCCTTATAAAAGGAAGGCCTGTACACCTCCCGTCTTTTTCTCTTTCTCTTCCTTCACTCTCATCTCCAGGGACTGGTCTCTGCCCCTTCTCTCCCCTCCCCTCAATAAATCTCCCTTGTGGGCCCTGTTGTATCTGTGACTCCTTCCTGCTCCACACCATTTTAAAAATACAACAGTTAGCACATACGTGTTTAACATTTCTTATTAATAGGCTGTTAACTGTGACGTCAAGGACATTGTACATTTTGTTTATTTTTAATAAATAGGCCTGCCTCAGTAATTGTCTTGCCAGAGGGATAGCTTAGGATTTTACTTACATCGTCTGGTATAATCTTCACAACTGTCATTATCCTTACTTTGCTATGGAGAAACAGACAAGGGCCAGCCAGTCCAGCCAACCAACTCCAGAACACGCATTTTCACTGTGGTCATGTATTCCCAGATTCACTCTGAACTGGGCCTTGATTTGTCAAAAGTATCAAAGCTCATTAGTTTTTGTGTGTGTTTTTTTTTTAATATGTTCGTGTATTCCCCTCATAACTGATGCTTGCTGTGCCTTTCAGATTTTAAAGAATGTGGAGTCTTCCAGAAATGTTCAGCCACATTTCCTAGAATTTTTGCTCTCCCTTGGCTGGTCAGTAGATGTGGGCAGACACCCTGGCTGGACGGGACACGTGTCTACCAGTTGGTCAATTAATAGTTGTGATGATGGCGAAGGGTCTGAACAAGGTAAAGCTCGTAAATAGCTGTTAATAGTTTCTTGTTTGGTTACTCGTTGTCCCCCTCCTCTTTCCCATGAACCTTGACATTTTAAACAGATGGTATCGAGGAAAAGTCTTCTTTCCCCAGTCCTAGTCTTCATGGGTCACGTTTAGTTTGTATATTCTTCTTTTTTAAAGTTACCTATTTTGTGTAGGAGGGTTGGGTAAGGAGGGGAGTGCATGAGCCTGTGGATGTCAGGACAGCCTGAGGGAGTGCTCACTCTCCACTCTGTGAGTTGCAGGTATGAACACAGGTCAGTGGGCTTGGAGGCAAGAGCCTTAACCTTCAGAGCCCTCTTGCCACCCCTAATTTGTCTAGTTCTGTAGATACTTCCTCTGTGTGTGAAAGTTGTAATAGTAGGGTAAACTATTATTACTGTGCTGATGTGTTCCGTTTTATATGTGAACAAACAAATACAGCTTCCTATAAAATGTTAATAAACCTAAGATATGTCTAATAAACAAAAGTTTCTGTTTAATAAATGGTTTTCGCTACTAGATTTTTTTTTTTTTTTTTTTTGAGAGAGAGACTCTTTGTGTATGCCAGGCTAGCCTGGAGCTCAGAGAGGTCAGCCTGTGTCGCCCTGTCTTGGGAAAAAGAATGTTTGATAGACTGTAGTTTGCATCTATCTCAGGTTTCTACCCATCTCCACACAGCCTTTGGAGAATCTGTAACCAGGCAACAAGGAGCAGTACAGACTGAAACTTGAGGCAGAATCGAACTCACGTGTTCTTAGGCTCCTTAGGTTAAGTGAGTAATCTTCAGCATTCTTATCTCAAGATATACTAGCTCAGAATTTCCCTTCAGCACCATTGTGAACTGATCTCTAGTTTCTTCTAATTTTTACTCGTTTGAGTAAGATATTTTGGGATTTATCATAATTTTAATTTCCATGTACCCATGCTTGATTATATGTATACATTAAATTTCTATAAGTAGAATTAATAAAGAATATGCACATTTTCATTTTTATAAATAGGTCACTGAGCATGGTAGGGCTTTTGTATATATGGTATTGGGAGTTGAACTTACATTACAGCAAACTCTACCACTGAGTAGAATTTTTTGCACCATTTTATAAATAAGTCCTTCTAACGCTTATAGTTTTAAGTGACAGAAAACCTGAATGAAACTAGCTGAGATTTTTATTAATTAAAAAAAATATATTATTGGCCCAGCATGGTGACTCATATCTTTAATCTCAGCACTTGGGAGGCAGAAGCAGGTGGATCTCTCTGAGTTCAAGGCCAGCCCCCCCCCCCCCCCCCCCCGAAGTTGAGGACCAAACCCAGGGCCTTGCTCTTGCTAGGCAAGTGCTCTACCACTGAGCTAAATCCCCAACCCCGCTAGCCTGGTTCTTATAGAGAGTTCTAGGCTAGCCAGGGCTATGTAGTAAGACCTTGTCTTAAAAAAAAGTGTGTGTATGTGTGTGTGTGTGTGTGTGTGTGTGTGTGTGTGTGTGTGTGTATACATATACATACGTGTATACATGTGTACATGTGTGGCACACTACACAGGTAAGGATCAGAGGATAATTCTGTAGAGTCAGTTTTCCTTTCACCTTCACATGGTTCTTGGGCTTGAGCTCAGGGTGGTAGGCTTTGCAGCAAGCACTTTGACCCCCTAAACCAATCTCATGGGCCCTGGCTTAAATTTTGAAGAAATTCCAGATTGGTTAAGTGTTTTATGTAATTACCAGCACTCCATTGTGTTTGCAGTTTTCTGTTAGATCTGTTCTCTGAATTTTGCTTAGTCCCTGGTTACCTTCTTAGTAAAGAAAGGCAGTTTCAGACTTGACGTGCATACACCACCATAGCGAGAAGAGGAGGGTAGCTGGGCTGCAGTCTCTTTTTCTCCCTAGCCCCTGACTGATAGAGTACACTTCAGCTCCAGGCCTGCTCCAGAGTAGAATCAGGCAGAGTAGATATTCTGGTCCTTTGCAGAAAAAATTCACTATCTTGTCCTTTGCAGGAAAAATTGTGTCAACCTCTACTCTAAATTTCTTGCCTTCCACACCTTCACCAGCATTAAGTATCTTCTAATATGTTAGGCGAAACCTTTCTTAGTTTTGTGATTGAAAAATAAGCATTTTGCCGGGCGGTGGTGGTGCTCGCCTTTAATCCCAGCACTCGGGAGGCAGGTGGATCTCTGTGAGTTCAAGGCCAGCCTGGTCTCCAAAGCGAGTTCCAGGAAAGGTGCAAAGCTACATAAAGAAACCCTATCTTGAAAAACCAAAAAAAGAAAAAAGAAAAGAAAAATAAGCATTTTCTTTTGTTGTTTTTTCATTTTACATACCAATCGAGATCCCCCTCTTCCCTCCTCCCACCCCTCCAGCCTTCTCCCTCAGCTGACTCCTCATTCCCCCCCCCCCCCCCCCCAGGAGGGCAAGGCTTCTTGGGGGGAGGACCTTCCCTTGGGGGCAGTTCCAGGCCTTTCCCCTTGCTTCAGGGTTGCCCAGGTTTTTTCTTCTTGGTTGCGGGCTCCAAAAAGCCTGCTCATGCACCAGGGGTGGATTCTGATTCTACTATTCCCTTCCCCAAAATCTATGTGCCATCTTCCTGTGAAGGTCCTGGTCTTTTATGTCATACTGTGGTTATTAGATGCTCATTGTCACTGAGACTTAGACTAGTTCAGACTGTTGTAATTCATTTTTTCTGCCTACTAAAACTCCCATTATGTTTTTATATCACTCATTACCAGAGAAGGGAGAGTATCCAGGTCTGCTGTAATTTCACAAACTAGAAAATTATTATATAAAATTACTGTAAGGACACTTAATCAACACTCATGGTTTGTTCTTCTCACCTACAGATTAGTTCTCTTTGGAACTGTCATCGCTTTATTAACTGGCTGGGGTTCATGAACAGGAGGTGAAGGTGCCCAGCTTTCTTAAGTACTGATGCATTGTTCTTTATTCCCAGATGAAGTAACTTCCTCTGAAGACACTGGGGCTAGCATTTTCAATGGGCAGAAGAAGGTGCTGTACTACGCTGACGCCCTGACGGAAATAGCTTTTGTGGTTCCTTCTCCTGTGGAGTCCTTAAGTAAGAGCATGGTTTTGCATAGTGCTATTTTAGGATCTGTTTGTATATTCACTGTTTGGTGTGTTATGCATTGGAGGAGATTTTGAAGTCATCAGAGGCATTCTTGAGCTTCTAAGCAAGGGTGGGTGCAGTGGTTTTGAAGGACCAGGTGGCTGGAAATAATTCTCTCTAGCTGGCCTTTTCCAGCAGGCATTCAGCAGTACTCTTCTCAAACAAAACGTTTTTCAGATGAGCTTTCAGTTTGATACACTGGAGCCTGCACTGGGTAGGATCTAACCCCTTCCTGGAGTATCCTCACAGCACATTCCTCCTGTTTTTCCCACACAACGTGACAGCTTCTTTTTAGTGCTGCTATTCTCCTTGCTTTGTCCACGAGTTTAATTCCATTCATGTTCCTTTCCTGGCTGAACTGTACCATGTCCCAGTCTTGCCCCCACTTTCACTCTCAGTTCCCGCGTAACCTAGCTAGAAGCAGCCAGCACTAACCCCGATGCCACTGGATGCTGTGCTGTCTTGATGTCTGCCAAATAAATTAGTCCATTTTTTTATTTCAGCCCCATTGAATTTTTCAAGACATGGATAGAATGTAGGCAAATTTTTTTCCTTTTTCTTTTTTTTTTTTTTTTTTTTTTTTTTTCTAGAATGTAACATGAATGGCCTCTAGTCAGTCCCTAGTAGAATCCTTGTTCTGAAACTCAGTGAGCAGTCCTTACTGTTTGAATCTCTGTCGGCATTTCTGATCCTACTAGAACTGACCAGTAAGCTCTACCTACAGCATTCTAGAGCTTACTTAGCCTGCCTCTCCAAACACCCCCTGCATGTCAGTTCTTACGACCTAAGAACCACATGGTCAGGTTTGGGCCCAGAAGCTGCTCTACTTCTTTGCTACCAGTTTTCTTTAATAGTTTTTTTGTTTGACTTAGTTTGTTTTCTGTTGCTGTGACATGACACCAAAAAACCAAGACAGGGAGGAAAAGGTTTATTACATCTTAAAGGTGAGAGTCCATCATCAAGGAAAGCCAGGGCCGGAGCTCAAGCAGGAGCCTGGAATCAGTGCTAAATTAAAGCAGAAAACACATATGGATGCTGCTTACTGGCTCTAACCTAAGGCTTCTCTTCAGCTACTTTGGTTAAACAGCTCAGGCCCTCCTGTGGAGAGCTGTCACATCCACAGTGGGCTGAGTCCTCTTGTATCAATTGACAATTAAAAAATACCCTAAAGACATGCCCACAGGCCAGTCTGATCAAGGCAGTTGATCATTTGAGGTTCCCTCTTCCAGGCGTGTTGAGAGGAAAGCTAACCTAGACAGTGTTCATTACAGAGATCTCTGACAGGAATCAGGGAGAAGGGTTTACTTTTGGTTGATGGTTCAGAAATTCTCATCCCCGTGATGATAATGGCATGACCCAGTGGCTTACTCTATGGCCATGGGAGCATGTAGCATGGCTTCTCACCATGGCAGATCAGGAAACAGACAGCAGGGTCAGAACCAATGTCTAGGTACTTCAAAGGACCTCTCCCAATGACCTAGTCTCCCCTGCAAGGCTTCACCCCCTAAAGTTTCCACAGCCTACCAGAATAGTGCCACTGCTAAAGAAGTATTCCAAACATGAGACTGTGAAGGCTATTACATATTGAAAATATAGCAGGGTATACTTAAATAGGATAACAATTTTTTTTTTGCTATTACATTTTCTTGAATATATGTTGTGCTGTGTATATATTTCCCTACCAGCCTTTTGCATATCCCCCCATATATACATAGTTAATTTGAAATTCAGCATGAGAAAAAACATACTCTAGCTTGTCTATCTCCCCCTACCCCATTATACTCTCTTGTTCCCTTTTCACATCAGGCTTTTTCCTCTCCCTTGTTCTTCAGGTCAGAGATTTTATGTATGTCTAGATGTCATGAGAAAATTAGATGGTTGTCTTTAGGAGTCATTTCATTGGACACCATCATCTCCAATTCCATCTTATTTCCTGTATGTGGCATAATTTCATTTTTCTTATGCATCCATCTAATGATAGGTATCAAATATTCTTTAAGTACAACTCCACCTCAGCCCTGGTTTTGTCTTTCATCTAACTTAACCAGTATGTACAGGCTTTACTTTCTGCTTTGATCATTCCTTTCATAAGTTATGAATGAAGCCCAAGTAGCTCTTGATTCCCATGTGAAAACTTTTATACAGAACCCCATATAAACTTACAGCTAGCAGGACCTCATGATGACGTCGTGATGATTTTTGGACATTCAGCAGAAAAAACTTGAGCACCCTAGAAAAAATGGCACACTGTTCTTACGGATTAAGTGTGATTACTCTTTCTTAATCTAAAGTCACAGGTTTATTTTGCTTAAAATATTGTGTGGGCCTGAAGAGATGGCTCAGCCTTTAAGAACACCTGCTCTTCCAGAAGACCTGAGTTCAGTTCCCAGCACCCATGCTGGGTGGCTCAACCACCTGTAACTCCAGTTCTAGTTCCTACAACTTTTTCTGGCTTTTCTGGGTATACGCACAGACACATAAATTTAAAATAAATTTGAAAAAAATATTGGTCTTTTTGCAGATTAAGCCCATTTCTTCTTGTCTGGCTAGACAGTGAGCAGAAAATGTCACCTTTTCTATTGAGACCATTTGAAGTGTGAGATATACATCACACTTGATAGTCTCATCTCCAGAGTAAAGACTTGTGCTGTGTCTAGCTTAGTAGCTACCTTTGTACTTGACCTTGATTTCTCACTGTAGGTTCCCATGTTTCATACTCTGTCATTTTTGTCCCTAGTAGAATGGGCCTTCCATGATAGTATCTTAGTGTTTATCTGCCTTCCATTCAAAACTGTGATCTGCCTCCTTATTCCAGCAGTTGAGGCCCAGCTGTTTTGTGGGTTGAGTACCTGCCTGGTTTCTTTGGTTGAACAGCCTGCACCAGCAAGTCTTCCCAGACCTAGAACCTTCGTTCACACTGGCTTCCCACAGTTGGGTCTTAGCCTGCGATCATGATATATGCCTAATGCCACTTGCCATTTGTGTGCTGTGACTCAGCTTCTGTTAATATTCATATTCATATTCTGGGACTAGAAAGAAGGCTCTGATTTTGAATGTTTGTTGCTCTTTCAGATGATCTGGGTTTGATTTCCTGTACCTATGTGGTAGCCTACAACCATCTGTTAACTCCAGTTTCAGGGAATCCAATGCTCTCTTCTGACTTCCTTGAGCACCAAACATACATGTAGTGCATATACATGTGTGCAGGCAAAACATTTGTTTGCATAAAATGACATCTCTATTTTCCTGGGGGTTTTGTTCATTTGTTTTTTACTCCCACCAGATTGTTCTTTAAATTCAGACTAGGTCCTTATGGCTTTCAGGTGTCTCAGTGTCTACTTAGGATGGTGCTTTTGATTGACTATATAAGTAATTCAGAGAATAACAGATAGCTTTGAATTTATGATTTTCTAGCCTTACCTCACTTATCGTGTAGAGCAGGAGATGACAAACTAGCACACAAACCAGATTCAGTCAAGAATGAGCTTTATGGTTATTAAAAGATTAAGATGTTCCTTTTATGTGTATGATTGTTTTGCTTGTATTATGTGCACTCATGCATGCCTTTTGTGCCCCTGAAGGCTAGAAGAGGGCAGGGATCCCCTGGAACTGGAGTTAAAGATGGTTGTAAGCCACCTTGTAGGTGATGGGAACCAAACCCAGTTCTGCAAGAGCAGCCATTGCTCTTAACTGCTGAGCTGTTTCTTAGTCACAAGTTTTATATTTTTTCAAGTGTTATAAAATGCAAAGAAGAGTGTGCTGCAAAGACTCTATGACCAGCAAATCCTACAATAAGGTCACCTGCTCCTTCATGGGATGTCTGCCAAGACTTGCTATGTAAACAGTGCTTTGCTTTCAGTTACTTAGGGTAGTTAGACTAGTTAACATAATTAAACTTCTGCTCCAGAGGAGTAGCAAATTTTTATATATATATTTTCTTTCTCTTGTAGCTGATTCTTTGGAAAGTAATATCTCAGACCAAGATAGTGACTCAAATATGGATCTTATGCCTGGAATTCTGAAGCAGCCACCCCTGACACTTGAGCTGGTCCCCAATCACACAGACAGTCTTAATTCCTCACAGAGGGTAAGTTGTTTTATTGATTTGCCCCAAATTTTGTGAAGTGGCAATAATTGTAGAACCAAGTCTGAAAGTTTCTCATTTTTTGTAATGTAGGAGGTATAGCAAGAGTGCTGATTCATTAACTGAAGTATTTGAAAATGAATTCTTGAATTTTTCATTTTTCTAATCTATAATAAATAGTTGGTTCTAAGACAATGTTTTCCTTGTATTTGACATTCTGATGCTGTGGTCATTTCTCTTGCTCACACCTGTTTAAGCTGAGGTATTCTGTGTCCACTAAGCATTACAGCAGGAGCTGTCTGTAGATTTCGTGATCTCACACTATTCAGCTAGGAACTGACTGCAAAGCTGGCAGCATTTGGAGACTCTAAGTGCTGCAGTTCTCCTTTGTCTGTTGCTTTGCTTTCAGCCATTTTAAGACCCATGCTCAACTATGGTCTAAAAATATTTAAAAGGAAAATTGCAGAAATAAGCAATTTGTAAGTTTAAAATAATGTAGCATTCTGGATAGCTTGGTGAAATCTCACAGAATACTGCTTCTTCCAATCTAGGATGTTAATCATCCTTTTGTTCAGTATCTGTATACTGTGTATGTTACCCTACCCCACCCTCCTCTGTCACTTTAGTATTGGTTTGGTGTCATGGAATGTAGTACTGCAATTATTTTCTTTGTCATAGTGTTTTACTGTGGCTCATGTGGGCATTGCATCACCTTTTGTCATCACAGGAAGAGGGATGAATATAGTATGGTAAGGTTTCTTGAGGGAAAGAGACCAAATTCACATAGGCTTTTATTGAAACATACTGTAATTGTTCTGTTTTACTATTGTTACATTTATTTCAAGGGTGTTTCTCTCCTTTCTCTCTCTCTCTCTCTCTCTCTCTCTCTCTCTCTCTCTCTCTCTCTCTATCTCTCTCTCTCTCCCTCTCTGTGTGTGTGTGTGTGTAGTTGTGCACTGGAAAAGAATACGTGTAGTATTGAGTAGTAACTGATTTCAAGAACCCATGGAGAGTCTTTGGATGTACCCGCATGGATAAGTGGGGGCTACTGTGTATGGCTAAATCTATTAAGTATGCACACAACTCTTACTACATAGGAAGAGCCTTTTGCTTTTATACTTACCAGCAAATGTTATCTCTTTATCTGTGTTTACCCCTTAATCTTTATTGAAAAGTGACCAAGTAAGTGGTAACAAGAACTCATGACAGGCTGTAAGAATAAGATTGATTTAAAACAAATACTAAAGAAGATGAAGTGTAAACCTGACCAAAGTCATTCCTGAATTTATATGGGATTTTAGTTTGGTTCCTTACACAGTAAAAATTGTTACTCCCCCCTTGCTCTACCCCCAGTATTAGGGATTAAGTTTAGAGACTCACACGTGCTAGCCAAATGTTCTCCCGCTGAGCTATAGCCCCAGTCCTCTTGTTTTTATTTTGAGACAGGATCTACTAAATTGCCCCAGCTGACCTGGAACACATTCTGTAGCTCAGGCAAGCCTTGAACTTCTCCTTGTTTTTCTGCCTCACTATGTGTAACTGTGAAGATTATTTTTAGCATAGATACATGTTAATGTAATCAGAAGTTTTCCTGTGTCCCGCCCGGTCCCACAGCCACTCGGACAAGTAAACATACAGATGCTTGCTTATGTCACTTAAAAACTGTATGGCCTAATGGCTCAGGCTTTTTGCTAGCTAGCTCTTATAACTTAAATTAACTCATTTCTATTAATCTATGCTTTGCCACATGTTCCACGGTGTTACCTCTGTGCCATTACATGCTACTCCCTGGACTGTGGACTTTGCTTCTCCTTTCTCCTTTCACTATCTCCCTTGGATTTTCCCACCTGGTTCCATCCTGCCCTGCCATAGGCCAAACGGCTTTATTTATCAACCAATCAGAGCAACACATATCCACAGCAGAAAGACATCCCACAGCATGTCAAGAAAAGTCTCCACTATTAAAATTATTTAGTAAAAATATCAAGTTATATGACTCCTAATAACGGACTGATTTTAAACTTGAAGAGGTTAAGAGGCCTCACAGAACACAGTGGAAAGGAGTAAGGAATGTAGACATTTAGTGGCTGCCTGCCCTAACCCTCATGTTCTGAGTGCTAACAGTTATGCCTTCACACTCAGAGAATGACAGCTCTTAAAGTTTCTTGCTTTTTATTATGTATTCTTTTCAGACTAGAAAAAAACAAAAGTGGGCTGGAGAGATCGCTCAGTGGTTAAGAGCACTGACTGCTCTTCCCGAGGACCAGGTTCAATTCCCAGCACCCACATGGCAGCTCACAATTGTCTGTAATTCCAGTTCCAGAGGATCTGACACCCTCATACAGACATACATTAAATAAATATATCTTTTATAAAAGAAAAAATAAAACTGTTGTTTAACACTTGCTGTTGAGGAGACAGTCTCAGCAAACCCTGAACAGAAGCAAGCCTCTTTAACATGATAAAGCACACTGACTAGAGAGCAGCTAGTGTCCTCTCTGCAGGGGGAGGGGAGCTCCAACATGTCTGCTCTTTCTCCTGCTGCTTGGTGGAGAAGTCCTAACACAGAGAAGTAAGGCAAAACATAAAAATCGGAAAGCGAAGAGTAAAATTGTGTTTATCGATGGGTTGAGGTCAGAGTTGTGCTTGACCTCCACACATGTGCACACTAACAGAATGTTCATGTATACACATACAAAGAAAATACTGAAAGCATCAAAAGAGAATCACCAAGTCATGGATAAAGGAAGACACATTAGGTAAATGCAGATTTATTTCTTCAACAGAATCTTTTTAGAGATTTTGTTTCCTTTTTCTTTCTCTCTTTTTTTTTTTTTTTTGAGGGGGGGTTGTTTTTGTTTTCAAGACAGGTTTTTTTCTGTGTAGCCCTGGCTGTCCTGGAACTCAGTTTGTAGACCACTCTGACCTAAACTCAGAGATCCACCTGCCTCTACCTCTCGAGTGCTAGGATTAAAGGGGTGTGCTGTCACACCCAGCTCTTTTTCTTTCATTTTTGAGATTATGATATAGTTATATCATTTTCCCTTCTTTCCTTCTTTCCTCCCTCCAAATCTTCCCAAATACCCCTCCTTGCTCTCTTTCAAATTCATGGCCTTTTTTTTTTTTTTTAAAGCTCACTTCTCTCTCCATCCTCAATAGAAATTTTTAAAAACCATAGAGAATGATGTATTTTGTAAGGCAACCTTCAACTCAGACTACTGTACACCTCAAAATGGCCATCCTTGAAAGAGAAACTTTCTGTGGTAAAAGAACTAAAAGAACTCAGGACCACTAAACTAGCTCCGTAGAAGATACCGAAAGGAGTCCTTTGGCTACATAGAAAGTACATCTACAAGGATATAGGAGTGAGCAGACTTTAGTTAAGCAAAAGAGAAATAGGAAAACACCATTCTAAGACCAACAAAGTGACAGGAGTTAATACTGTCCTATTAATAATACTCTTCAATAGTATTGTGGTCTCATTTCTTCAGTCAAAACACAGACAACAGATGAAATTTTAAAGAGGGAATTTTGTGCCTCCAAGAAACACACCACGAAAGACAGATAAGACTAACTTCCTTAGTTAAAGGATGGAGAAAGGTGATCCACTCAAATGAAATGAGGAAACAAGCCTTTGTTGTTGTTCTAAATCTGATAAAAATACACTTCAAATCAAAATTAGTCAGAAAATTCCCCATACTTTTCAAGGGAACAGTTCATTAAGGGGACATTGTAATTCTAAAACATACATTGAAAATGCATGCACACAGTTTCATAAAGCAAATACTACTAAATGTAAATTCACACATTAACCCTAGCATAGTAAAGGTATCCAATATTCACCATTTGACAGGTCATCCCAACAAAAAATAAACAGGAAAACAGATCATTCAATAGGATATAAAGCAAGTTTTAACAGGTATAAAATACTAATGGCAACTGAATAATGAATAAGTCACTGAAGAAATAAGGAAATACAAAAATCCCTAATATCAAATGAAAATGAAAACACAAATACCAAAAAATATGGGATACAATGGGAAACACAATAGCAGACCTAAGAGAAGGATTATAGCTGTAAGTGCCCACATATAATAAATCAGATTTCAGATGAACTAACACTTCCCCTTGAGATCCTGGAAAAATAAGAACAGACCAAACCTACAGTCCTTAGACAGAAAAATTAAGATGAGAGCAAAAATTAGTGAAACGGAAACAGAAAAACAGTACAAGGAATCACTGCAACAAAGAGTTGGTTCTTTAACAAGATGGACAAACCTTCAGCCAAGCTAACTGAAAGAAAGTCGAGTGTGGTGGCATACACCTTTAATCTCAGCAGTGGGGAGGCAGAGGCAGGTGGATCTCTGAGTTTGAGGCCAGCCTAGTCTACAGAGTGAGTTCAGGACAGCCAGGGCTACACAGAGAAACCCTGTCTGGAAAAACAAAAAGGAAAAAGAAAGGAGAAAGAAAGAGAAGTCACAAATGAATAAAACTAGAAACGAAAGCGAAGCAGATGGTTTCTTACACCAGATAACAATGAAATTCAGAAAATCGTCAAGACATGTCTTAAAAATGTATATTACACAGAAAATCTAAAAAACACGGACAATTTTCTAGGTACATAGAATAAATGTAATATACTACATAAACGTTTCCTCAAGGGTAGAAATCAGACGATCATCTCAGTAGATTGAGAAAAGCCTATGACAAGACCTGAATCCCTTCGTGAGAAAAGCCCTGAAGAGGGACTGAAGAGAAGGCTCAGAGATGAAGGCAGTTACTGCTCTTGCGAGGATTGGCTTTGGTTCCCAGCATCCATGTTGGGTGCCTCACAACAGCCTATCACCCCAACTCCAGGGAATCCAGTGCCCTCTTCTAATGCGATAAATCCACATTTAAGTTCGGAGTATTAGGGAAATTTGTTAGGGTAAATTGAGGCAATACATTCACAATACTCAATACAGAACGGAGTAGACAGCTGAAGTCGTCTTCCGATCCGACCAGGAGCGAATCCACCTGGCAGTTCGATCAACCGGGAAGGAGGCAGCAGGGAGAAGGGGCTCTGACCCTCCCCCCCTCTCCTTTAAGAGGTCACATGCAACAGCAGGAAGCACCCCCTCCTTCAGACCCGTATAGCCCAAGGTCATGGGCGGAGCAAATACTACTGCACTCTTCTGTCATCCTTGGGCACCCACATACAAAAACATACAGATACATAAATAAATCAATCTTAAAAAAAAAAAAAATGGCTGCAACTAAAGGAACTAAGCCAGTCTCAGAAAGATATGTTCTTTTTGTGGGTTCTGGATTTTGTATAGTCACATAAAATTATGGATGTATATATAAAAAGAAAGTAGACATGAAATTATGTGGAGCAACAAAAGGAACTAACAGTGGGGAGTGAAAGTAAAAGATCCCAATGGCCACTGGCTTCAGGATAATTAAATAGTAAAATGTATGTACTATAGAACATCATCCATAATAATAAATGCACCTTAAAATATTGACTTAAGACATACCAAAAATAGTTCATTAAAAATAAGCCAGTTGACTCAGTCTGGGAGGAAGGGACTGGACCTGCCTGGACTGAGTCTACCAGGTTGATCGTAGTCCTCGGGGGAGGATTTACTCTGGAGGAGGTGGGAATGGGGGGTGGGCTGGGGGTAAGGGGAGGAAGTGGGAGGGGGGAGAATAGGGGAACCCGTGGCTGATATGTAGAACTGAATTGTATTGTAAAATAAAATAAATAAAATTTAAAAAAAAAAATAGACCAGATATTATAACTGTAAAAAAAAAAAAAAGTTCGTAGGATAAATGTCTACATCAGAAATTTTGGGAGATCATAAATTAGTAACAAAGATACATCTGAAGGCATTGGGAAAGCAAAAACAAATAAACAAAAAGCCAGTTGAGTGGCAGAAAAGACAAATGTTGAGCGTGAGCTTGCCGAAAAGTCTAGTGAACTCTTGTCTTTTGCAGACAATATAAGGAAAATCAGGTATAGATTGCTACTGAAACATTTCATCTGGGAACTAGGAATAACTTCCTGATGTTGGTTTTAGAGACTAAGATCCCCAGACAAAGTAGTGTTATTTGTTTTTGGTTGTTTGTTTTCTGAGACAAGGTTTCTCTATATAACAGTGGTGGCTGTCCTGGAACTCGCTGCGTAGACCAGGCTGGCCTCAAACTCACAGAGATCCATCGGTCTCTGCCTCCTGAGTGCTGGGATTAAAAGCATGTACCATCACCACCTGGCAGTACTGGTATTTTTTTTACCTGGGAAGCATACAGCTTTCTGGCCACAGAAAGATTCAATCCTTTTTTTAAACCTTTGTTAAAATATAACATGCGCCAGACGGATGATGTGCAGAGGCAGGCGGATCTCTGTGAGTTTGAGGCCAGCCTGGTCTACAGAGAGAGATCTAGGACAGGCACCAAAACTACACAGAGAAACCCTGTCTTGAAAAACCAAAAAAAAAAAAAACCAAAAAAAAAAAAACCAACCAAACTAAAAAAACATGCAAATTTTATTGCTATTCATGCAAATTGTAATTGTTTAGTATTCCTTTGATACTTAAAAGTTGTATCACATTATTTACTTGGAATGTGTGTATCCCAACTGCACATGTGTGCAAATATGCCATTGTGCATGTGTAGACATCAGAGAACAACTGACTTCTAGAACTTGGGTCATTAGGCTTGGTGGCAAGTGCCTCTCCCTGGCTCCTCTCATGCTGTTAAACTTCATTTCCCTTTCTAGGTCAAGCTCCTAAGTGGAGATAATGAAGAGCTTTTTTTGGCAAATTTATTTCACACTTTCTTCCCAAGTGGCTTTGGTGACATAGACATGTCACTAGTTATCTTGATAAGTGTTTGACCAGGTAGTTTTAAAAAAAATTCTTGGCTGGGCGGTGGTGGCGCACTCCTTTAATCCCAGCACTCAGGAGGCAGAGGTAGGCGGGTCTCTGTGAGTTCGAGGCCAGCCTGGTCTACAGAGCGAGATCCAGGAAAGGCGCAAAGCTACACAGAGAAACCTTGTCTCGAAAAACCAAAAGAAAAAAATTCTTTCTCCTCTCCTCTTCATATAGCTCAGTCCCAGTTCCAGAATGAAGAAGCTGCCTCAGGGTCGTCCTGTGCCTCCCCTTGGACCTGAGACAAGAGTGTCTGTAGTCTGGGTGGAACGCTATGATGATATAGGTACTGTATAAGGAAAGAGTGTTTCTCTAAGAATGATTAAGATGACAGTGACTTGCCAAGTGTCTGAAAAGGGTGGATACAGAGACTTGCAGTTCATAAACCTGGCTTTGTATTCCAGCCTCTACCCATTTTCAAGAAACCTGTTAACTGGGCATGGTGGCCCTTGTTTTCTAGTTTTGATAGAGTAATAGATACAAAGCTGTTAGCTGTTTCTTTGGTCTCCTAGCAGTGTTCCCAGTCTTCCGGGCCACCTTTTCCATGTGCACACGTGGTCTCATTTTTATGTAATTGCTTCCTTTGTCCTTAAAAGTTCTGCATGGAAAGTTTCTTAGGGTTTTTTGTATATGTGACTTAAGAACATCAGAAATGCATGCTTGGCCTAGAACCCTGTCCAGCTCAGAGTTTATAGGAAAGTGTCACAGCTGCTTCTAACCACACAGCCACAGATCCTATTCTCTGAAAGCCCTCAGCTTTAGGTGAACTCAGCCAAAACCTATTGTGAAGGACAATTGCTTTTATGTGGGGAGTCATTAGGATTCTACACTGTGGTGTAGCACAGATGGTACTTGTTGCTGTCTGTGAAGAGGTTAGGAAATGAATTTGGGAAAATCAAGTGGTGGTAACTATAATGTTCTTTTCTTCTAGAAAACTTTCCCCTCTCAGATCTGATGACAGAGATCAGCACTGGTGTGGAAACTACTGCAAATAGTAGCACTTCTCTGAGGTATGGCCTCTTATTTGCTTGAGTTCATCAGCATGTGTTTTTATCGGTTGGTTACAGCTTAATAAAGAATAAAGACTTATAATCAAACAGTGGTAAAGGCAGAAAGCTAGGAGCTGGCAAGGTGGCTCAGTGGTTAAGAACACTTGTTCTTGCAGAACAAGTTTTTGTTCTCAGCCCCCATATGGTGCCTTACAACTACCTGTGACTCCAGTTCCAGGGGGTCCACCTCCCTCATCTGACCTCTGAGGGCACCAGGCACACATGTGCACATACATGCAGGCAAAATACTCATACAAATAAAAATAAACAAATTAAAATTTGTAAATAAAGAGTCAAAGGGCTGGCAAGATGGCATACTTGTGGCCCTGTTTTCCATGTTTGAACATTTGATAGACTAGTGAATACAGCTGTTAGCTATTCCATTTATCTCCCAGTCAGTCCTCAGTCTTCCCAGGAGCTCTGGAAAGGGGAAAAGCCAGCATATGAGATGCTTAGAAAAAAACAAAATTAGAAATTTACCTTATTGAAATACAGTTGTTATAAAAAAGTTCTACATATTTGGCAAATTTAATCTGTTAAATTTGGAGGTATATTATACACATAAAACCATCACCACAGTATATTCTATAAACATACATATCACCTCCCAAAGTCTTCTATCACCCATGTATCTATCATTTATTATTATTGTTGTTGTTGTTAGTTATTTGCTCTGCTTTCTTAGATTTTTTTTTTTTTTTTTTT